AGCTGCTGCTAGCTCTGCTGCACCTCCTCAAGGCTCCGCTGCTGATGTCAAAGAGGAGCCAAATGGAGAAAAGTCTTCAGGGGAGGATAGAAGTGGTGCTACATCGGCCAACCCGTCACCGGCGGGTCAGGCTGTGTCAAGAACATCCGAGTGTACGTACACCCCATTGCAGCTGTTAGAAAATGTTTGGCTGCTAGCGGGGGCGGGAGTAGCGGAGCTGCACGGGTTAAACGTTGCCTTCTACGGGGGTGAAGGGCCCCCTGGGCTTTCCTGCTGCAAGTCGGATGCACGCACTGAGCAGCAGCAGCAGGAAGAGGATGAGCAGCAGCAGCAGCAGCAGCAGCAGCAAAAGGAACAGGAGCCTGGCTCTGACGATAGAGGGGCTGCGTTTGCCTTGAGCCTCTCAAGGGGGTGGGGAAACTTTGACGCCTTCAGGGGCCGCATTGATCTCTTGCTAACGGCGAGGCCTCCCCTGGGGGTATTCGATGGGCTTCCTCCTGGCGTGGCGCCAACCCCCCCGGCCCACCAGCAGCAGCAACAGCAGCAGCAGCAGCAGCAGCAGCAGCAAGACGAGCCTGCTAGCGCGGACAGAAAAGAAGGAAGCCCAGCGGATGCTGCGGCTGAGGCGCAGTCAACTAAACCCGAAGGCCTTTAGTAAGCCGTTTTGTTAGAGAGGGGGTCGAAGGTCTTCACCTAATATATTTATTTTTTATATATCTATTGTTTCTGTATCCCATGTGGTGTGTTGTTTATACTTACTTATTGTGCCTCTTTTTGCTTGTTGTATTGAGAAAACTGCTGCTGCTCATGCTGCTGCTGCTGCTGTTGCTGCTGCTGCTGTTGCTGCTATTGTTGCGCTCGCTACAGCACTTGCAGTGTTTCTGCGCTGTCTCTTGGCTTTCTGTGCGCGTAGCAGTACCAATGCTACTGTGCTGCTGCTGCTGCTGCTGCTGCTGTTTATCTTTCGTCCTGAGCCATGGTGTTGCTGCTGTGGGTTTGCTGCTGCAGCTGCAGAGAAAGCAGCTGTCTCGCCGACTTCCTCGAGCCCCGCCACATCGTCTGTAGCGGCCTGGGGCTCTTCTGGCAGAGGCCTCACTTCAGGGGAAGACATTTTGGTGAGATCCTGCATCGACGGCTGCAGCTTCTTTACCTGCGGGCGCTGCTGCTGCTGCTGCTGCTGCTGCTCCTGCTGCCGCTCCTGCTGCTGCTGCTGCTGCTGCTGCTGCTGCAGACGGCATCTCAGTTGTAGCCCCTTGGCTTTTCTCTTTATGGCTGCAGGGGCAGCGCTGCGGCAGGCCGGTGCTGGGCAATGGTTTCTGCTGCTTATGTTGGTGCTGCTGCAGCTGGTGAAGGCTGCTCGTCTGGCTGCCGCTGCATTTGTTTTTTTTTTTTTTTCTGTTTTGCTGCAGGATATTCGATGCGTTTAATTTTGCTGGGGGTGGTAGGAGAAAAGGGCCCCCAAGTGAAG